TGAATCATAGTCCTCAATACCAGTCTCTTTGCTTAACCACCATACACAGGTGACCAAAGAATCAGGTCAAAACAGTACTACATCAGCAAAACAGGAGATTTTCAGATGCCCCAGAGTGTCCAGATCTTTCCTATGACAGTACCTGAGCTAGAAAGGCAGCAACTTCAGAATGATGGACCTAGCAAAGGTGTTGCTGAAAGCACAATGTTATAAGTTGCTGATAGCCTGTACTTAGGCAACTGCTAGCTTAAATAGAGTAAATAGCTCATAGCTCCCACACACAAGTACTGCACATGCTCTGTAGTTAGATTTTTCCATAATAATGAAGAGAATGCCAGGCTGTCAGAGTGTCCTTTGAGGCCCTTCTACCAGCTGCAACTTCAACAATGTGTTAGTTTCCATAGCAAGTCTGCACACACTGGCGGCTGTAGATTAAATTCATGCTCTGAGTAGCCTCTGAGAATCATTGTTTATATTCCACAGCAATTTAAGTTTGCTCCTCGTCTCTTAAGCATGCAAATGGAAATCCCTCAAGTCTCAGCTGCTACAACATCTTTATACTTCATTATCAGAAAAGACAGTGCTTCACTCAAAGAAGGAAGAATTCTTCAAAAAACCTGATGTATCTCAGAGCAAAGAATAGTGTATTATTGACAATTAGTCTTTGCCACAAGTTGAAGGCTCTATACCTGTAATTTCTAAAATATTTTTGAATGATTCAAGCTTGCACCTAAAGGCTCTGTGTGTGTGGAACCATGTGTCATGACATTAAACGCTAGTGTCACCCTTACCTCCACCAGCCTGTGTGACCTTCACAAGTTATCTATTTTTCATGTTCTTTCCTATGCTGCTCCATAAGCCTGGAATTGCTTCTCTAGTCTTTCTTCCTTATCTCAACATTTTATAAATTGCTGTTCTGTGAAGTCTTCCCTGAGTTCCCAATCACTGTCTTTCCTACTCATATCACTAACGTAGATCCCCATACTCTGCTATCTTATTTGTTACATAGAATTACTATCACACACTTATTATTCAATTATTTTAGCTTTATCATCTCATTTAGGTTGTCAGGCAATACACAATTACTACTAGTTTAACGAATGTTAATACAGCTACTAACACTATGATAATACTATGTGTAAAGGTCTATAAACACATTATCTCTTATTGTCATGAAACCCTATTAGAATGTCAGTAATATTGACTTTGTTTATGGTTGATGAAAGCAAATGGAAGAAATATTACAAAGATGGTTAGTAGGGCATTGGAGGAGTTAAAAACCAAGCCCTTCCTGCTTTAAGGACCTAAAACTGAACTCAAGTTCTGTACTGAATGCCACACACGTTAAGCTCATTTGATGCTCCCCCAAACCCTGGGGTCAACATACAGTGGTTATAACACCAAGTTTTTAAAGTGCAATTAAGGCTTAGAACTGTTAGTGATTTCCTCAAGGTCAAAGAACTATGGATATGAATGCAAGTGAATCTCCCTACAGAGCCTCACCCACTGATTGATTCCATGGCTAGAAGGCAGAATGAACTTGACTCTTTGAAAACACTGCGCACATTTTCAGGAATAACTCCCTAGAACAGAACTCGATCACAACCCCTTCTGAGCAAGCAAAGCAACCAAACTGACTGCCCCCAGCACTCACCTTAGAACATGTGTGGATCCATTAATAGTTGTGGTTGAACAGGGGACTGTCTGGCCCAGAATGGAGGGTCTTCTGTAGCGTTCATCATCACAGCAGAGGATAATGAGGAAGGCACGTCTAAAAGACTTATTCAAGAAGGCATAGAGAAAGGGGTTCAACCCTGAATTGATATAGCCAAGCCAGAGGAAAGCAGTCCACACCTGCTCGGGGACAGTGTAGTCTATGAAAGGGTCCACAACGTTGGTGACAAAGAAGGGGGCCCAGCAGAAACAGAAGCAGCCCATGATGATGCATAAAGTCTTGGCTGCCTTGGTCTCTGTCCTCATGCGATGTGTGTTGTGCTGGTCGGCTGGCTGAGGCCTGCTTTCGGGGGTGGCTCCTGCCCGTTGTAACATCTGGATCTGCTGGGCATGCTCCTTAGCAGTGACATAGATACGGTAATAGGCCAGCACCATGAGGAGAAACGGGATGTAGAAGGCCACCACGGAGCAGGTGATGGCGTAGGGCTTGTTGACCATGAAGACACAGCATGTAGAGTTAGAGTTGTGGTTGAATTCCCTTTTCTTTATCTGAGAGAGGGAGGGAGAGAGGAAATGAGGGTGGGAAGGTGAATGAAGAGAAAACAGTGAAAAATAGCAAAGTGGAAAATAACACAGGAAAAGAAATAAAGAGAAGAGAAGAGAACAAGAAAAAGAAGTTAAAGAATGGGGCAAGAGTGAAAGAAGGGGAAAGAGAAAAGAAAAAGAATAAAGTTTATCATTAAAATTTTATTTGATGTTTTACAAATGTAAAGTGTTGTTTTGTTAGGGTCTCTACTGCAGCAATAAACACCATGGTCAAAGACAACTTGGGAGGAAAGTGTTTATTTCATCTTAAAACTTCAGATCACACTCTTTCCCTGAGGGAAGTCAAGGCAGGAACTCAAGGTGGGGAGCCTGGAAGCTGGAACTGATGCAGAAGCCACGGAGGAGTGTGCATACTGGCTTGCTCCCCATGGTTTGCTTATTTGTACAAACCAGGACCACCAGCCCAGGAGTGGCACGGTCCGAAGTGATTGGGTCCCTCCCACATCAAGATTTAAGGCAGTACCCCACAGACTTGCCTAAAAGCCAATCAGTATTATGGAGGCACTTTCCCAATTGTGATTTCCTCTTCTCAGGTACGTTTAGTTTCTGTTATGTTGACAAAATAAGTAACAAAGGTGCTTGGAGTAGGAGAAAGATTGATTTTTCGCTGTGTGGATAGCCAGTTGACACAGCAGCAAGTATTGAAAGGTCAACCCTTTTCCAGTTCCATTACAACAGAATTCGATTATATCAGATAACTATATGCACATGGCTCCGTGTTGGGATTTTCTATATTGCTCTCAAGAACTTTCTTTCTATATACCATTCCCATTTAAATTCTTTAACTTTATTAAATTTGGATTGTCCAGTAATAAAAATCATTGGAATTGCCAGTCTCTTAAAACTGCCTTGACTATTTTTATATCTCAATATTTCCATATAATGTTTACAAATAACATTAACTTCCATAAACCTCTTCACAGTTTTTTGTCTTTTGTTTTTCATTAGTTTGGAGAGATGGACATCATTGCGTAAGTCCTCCAACTGGTGGATAAAGTTCTTTGCCTTCAAATACATTCTAAAGTCTATTTTAGTAATGTAACTTTCTGCATAAATATCATGAACATACCTTGTTGTAATTATTACTGTATTGTATTTAAAATATTTTATTGGATTTATTTTATCTGTGTTTTGCCTGCTTGTATGTATTTGCACCACATGTGTGCTTGGTACCTGCGGTGGTCAGAAGAGGGTGTCAGAGTCCCTGGAAATGGATTTACAGCTGTTTGTGAACCACCATGTGGATGTAGGAAATCAAACCTGGATTCTTTGCAAGAGCAACAAGTACTCCTAACCACTGAGCGATCTCTCCAACCCCTGCATTTTGTTGCCATTGTTTGTGATAGTGTACTAAAACTTTTTCCAAAATGTTTGTTGTTTGTATGGTGAACTCAGTGATTGATTTTTTAAATACTGAAAATACGTCTAGCAACTTTAATAAACTAGCTGTTATTTTATCTCTACATTGTTTTTAACTTCTCAAAGAATACTCATATAATTTCCAAATAATGAGTTTTATTTCATTTTTCACTTATGATGCCATTTTATTTTGCTTTTTAAAAAGGTAGTGACAGCTGGCCTAGTGGTGTACACCTTTAATCCCAGCACTCAGGAGGCAGAGGCAGGCAAATCTCCTTTTATTAATGCAGGAAATGCATCAATTGCATTATATTCCAGGAATGTCTTGATATTGGGATGCACTAGGTTCTCTTTAAGAATGGAAGGACTTTCCCCTTACTATGAAGCTCCTGCCTTAGAGCTCTTCACTCTGAACCTCTCCTAGCAATAGTCCTTGACTGAAAGGAACTCTTTAACCTAATCTCCCTTTTTGGAGACTTTTCAATGTAAACATACACATGAATATAGATGTGGAAAACTACACACACACACACACAAACACACACACACACACACACACACACACAGTAAACAGCAAACATGCAACTTTATTAATTATATACATATTTCATTTTGTCTTCTAATTTTATAGCACATCTTCATTTTTAACTTTTTATTTTATCAGCACAAAAGTTCTTTGTCTGAAGAAATACTACTTGTGTTAAATTTGCTTCATCATATGCATTAGTAAAGCTATAGAACCTTTTTAAAAATTCAGTACTCACAAGGTACATCCTTTTTCCATTTTATAAATTTTTAACCTTTTCACTATATTCTGCACAATGAGCCTCTCTTTAAGCAGCATATATTTGCATTTTTGTCTAGATTCAATAGAGCAGCATTTATATTTTAGCAAATTTTCTTCACATAATTTAGTCATTTGACATTTACCATAATCAAAGGCTGATTGAGATTAAGTCTACAATTTTACTGTATTTATCCATCTTAAGACTCTTTGTCATTATTCTATTTCTGTGAAAAGACACCATGACCACAGCAACTCTCATAAAAGAAAGCATTTAATTGGGGGCTTGCTTACAGTTTCAGAAGTTTAATCTATTATAATGATGGTGGGGAGCACAGTGGGAGGCAACACAGGCCTGGTGCTGGAGAAGTAGTTGAGACCCACACCCTGATCCACAGGCAGAACGAGGCTGGGCTTGGCACAAGCTCTTGAAACTTCAAAGCCTACTCCCAGTGAAACACTTCCTCCAACAAGGACACGCCTCCCAATCCTTTTAATCCTTTCAAATAGTGTCATTCCTTGGTGACTAATTACTCAAATATATGATCCTATGGGGAACATTCTTATTCAAACCACTGCCTTGGGGTTTTGGCTTCTTTCCCTCCATTTACTTTTTCCTATGTTCTCATCTTTTTCATAAAGACTCCATCTTACCTCCATCTATGAAATCCAATTTTCACCTTTTTTTGACAATATAAAAATCTTAAATAAAGTATCTTCATTCCTTCCTGGTATGCTGATTCTTATGCATTTTAGTTCTACATATACTAAAAACAATTTAAGCGGCATTAATTGTATTATCTCAGTAGTCAATATTCTTTTTAGTTTTGCTGTTGTTTTTTTATTTCCTTTTAATTTTTTGCTCATTATTCACCACTAAGAGTATTCTGTATTTTTCCTGCTGTCAGATACTTTCATCTTGTATTTTTTTTTTAATTGTAGAGAATGGGACTAAAATATTCTTTTTAAAATAATATTTAGGATAAAAATTTTGCTGAAAAATTTCCATATGTAAAACATCTTTACTTAAAACATTCATTAAAAACATCTATTTCTTTTACACTTTATCAGTTATTGAGGGTTTCTAGTTATTTGCAGCATATTTGATGGCATTCACCAACTCACTACCCCATACCCTTCCCATATCCACCCCCTTCTCTATTCACTCCTCTTCCCATTCAAAAAGAAAAGCCGTCAAGACCAATTTGTGCTGCCTAAACTATTCTTGGATGTAATTTTCTCCATTGGTGTCTGGTCTGCTTGCCAGGAGTTACACTCTGAGAGAATCTGATACTTCCTTTCCCAGCACCTAACAATGGCCAATCACTCAAAGTCTAGGAGTGGGATTGTGTGCCCAACTTCCCACTCCATGCTGGGATTTGGTCTGGTTTGGGTTTTCACAGGATTTTTACTGTGTAGCTTTTGGCTTCAACCATAAATTCTCCTACATCTGCTTCTCAAGTGCTATGCCTACAGGCATGGACTACAATGCCTAACACTGTTCTTTGAATATAGTGTATTTTATTTATCCTTACAGTCATGGTTAGGATAGTTGTTATCATGCCCAGAAACAGCATTCTCTATCCTCACTTGTGATATGTTTTTGAATTGGCTTTCTAAAATTTTCCTTCTTCTTTCACTTCCTTTTTGGTTGTAACTTCCAATCCTCTGTTACTGGCTTTTCACTTCTTAGACATCTTCTCCTATAAATCTTCATCCCGCAGGTGATTACATCTACTTGTATGGGTTTAAATAGCATCTAACCCTGAGAATGCCTTGTAGTTTCTTTCTGATAGAGAATTCCCATAAATATCATGATTTTATATTAAGCTGATTTCTTGATTGTGCACTAAAATGTCTAGCAGGTGTTTAATACTTTCATCATGCTTTCTGTAACACACAAAACCTATCCTACCTACAATATTTCTAACCTGGAATTTCTAGCTTTAATCAACAGTCATTCACTCCATTTTTTCAGTTGTGCTGACAAAAAACTTGATTGCGTGTAACTAAGGTTTCCCTTTCACATTTCTCTTCTAACCATACAGAAGATCTTGTTTATATTAATACATCTATATTCTGAATCACAGTCTCCATTGCTCCCACTGAGACTACAGCACCATTGTCTCTTACCCATAGCATTCCTTTAGCAGACTTTCTTAACAGAAAAATGAGGATTTTTTCAAAATATTATAAATCATACTACTAATATACTCAGAGCCTACAGTAATCCATATCACTCACAGTTAAATCTGATGTCTTAAATGTCCCACGGAACAATGGGTTATCTTCCTATTTATTGTATTTTATTATTTTTATACTCCTTTCCTACTTCTTACCTCCAAATTAACTTTGTTTCTTGTAACAGCCTATGTCAGGCACATCTTGTCTCTGGATCTTTGTATCAGCTGTTTTATGCCCACTGTATGCTTCTCCAAGGTACTTAGAAGTATAGTTCCCCCATCTCCTTAAAGTCTTTATTCAAATGTCACCTCTCAATAGAGCCTACTCTAACTCCCTATTTAGAATTTCAATCTGCTAACAACCCACCTTGTAAAGACTTAATATTTGAAAATTGTGTGTGCGTGTGTGGGTGCATGCACCCACATGGGTGTGTGTGCACATGCGAAAAGGTTGCCAAGGAAGCCAGAGATGTTGTATTCTCTGGAGGTACAGGCAGTTGTGAGTGGTGTGAGTGCTGTATGCATTCTTCTTGCCAAGCCATCTCTTCAGCCCCAAACTAAAGTAAAATATAGTCATTATCACCTAGATAATGACTAGATAAGTAGATTCTAGATAACTGCTTATTTTCATTGTTATCACTTGCTGCTTGCATCTCTGTGGCTGGATATCACCTGGCCCAAGACTGCCTCTCCAACTTCTGAGTTTCAGACTGAGCCAAGAATATTTTTAATGAGACTCACTGGAATAGTAGATCAACATGGGGCTTGATACATAGTGACTATGAAACATTTGATGACCATTAATAGTATTTTTGGAAACTGGTATTTTATTTCCTCTCCAAATGAAAAACAAAACAAAACAACTAAACAAAACCTAAAACCCTTAAAGAAAAGGTATGGGATTGAAGAAATTATCTACAGGTTCTCTGAGAATGGAGTCCCTCTGTACCTCTAGTATATTTTCAGAAGCTCAAGTCCTCCTTGTTCTAAAATGTAACTCTTGGCCATGAGATTTGTTTGAATGTTGTTTCCTATTCAAGGAGGAAGTTAAAATCATTGTGCATAGAAAAGAAGTGGAATTCCCTCTTTTCTGGTCCTTTTGAAGCAGAACTCATTCTCATCTAGAGGACTGGATTCATGTGTCAACATGTCATCTTCCATAGCCCTGGCAAATAGATCCAGACCATCAGTTTTAATTGTCATCATCATTCCTGCATGCAGGAGTAGGACTCTTAAAGATGATTTTGAAGTGAGATTGGTTAATGTTATGTGTCAATTTAAGCCATGGGGCACCCAGATGCTTGGTTAAGCCCTATTCTGGGTATGACAATATTTTTGGTTGAGAAGAAGCTCTGAACTGGCAGATTATACAAATAAATTTTCTCTTCCAAACCAGCACTGCAGCCAGTGTATTAAAGGCCTGACCAGAACAAGAAAGCTGATTGAAAGATAACTGCTCTATTATTGCCTTAATGAAGGGCCATCAGTTTTTCCTATCTTTGGACTTGAACTTAAATATTGGCTCTCCTGAATCTCTAGCTTGCTGAGACTTGTCAACTTCCACAACTGTGTGGTCCAGGTACAATATGTCTCTGTTTCTCTTTTTCTTTCCCTAAGTATATAGGTAGATAGATGGACAAGTACAGACAAGGAAAAGATAGAAGGCTGATAGATAGATGACAGCCAGATAGATAGAAAGACATAAGCATCCTATTGGTTCTATTTCTCTGGAAAATCTATAACTCAAGTTCTGGGAACTGATAGTTAAATACTGAATTCCTGTTCTCCTACAGGGGAATTACATGGCATGGGGGATGCAACTTAACCCACTCATCTTTAAAATGGACATGATTATACTTTTTCTCAAAAGGATTCTTTTGGAAATTATATGTAAAGTGCTTATTTCCTGGCCAATATACATTAATGTTAAAAATTATTTGAAACACTTGCTAAGGCAGCCTTTATTCTACATTATTTTCATAAACAAGAGAAACTGCTGTGATTTTTGCAGGAGATAAGCTTCAACTCTAAACACAACAAAGAAAAAAGTGGAGATTTATAGCAAGGTGCTGGTTGAAGGGGATCAGTGGACAGAAAATTATGAAGAGTAAATGTGAGGAACAAGTAGGATTCTAGCTAAGTCAACTTCGCAGGATTCTTGCTGAAGACAAGCCAGGGAAATCAGGCATAACCTGGGGAGATGAAGTGACTATCCTTTACTGAGGATGGGGGATTCCAATTAGACCAAATTATCAGCATGCTTGCTGAAATTGAGCAATGTAAAGTTAGACATGGTGTTGATCAGAATTAGTTGTCAATCTGACAGATTCTAGAATTGCCAGCAACAAGGGCCTCTGGGAGGGGTATCTTGAATATATTAATTGATGTGGGGAGACACATCTTGACTGTGGGCAGGGCAATTTTCTAGGCAGGGGTTCTAGAATGTGGAAGCCAAAAAGAGGACTGAGAAGTAGTGTGTATTCATTGTTCTTTTCAGACTATGGACATTATCAGATGTGCTGCTTCAAATTCCTACTGCCTTGATTTCTCTGCCATGATGGATGATAGTGTATTAAACTGTGGGGTAAAACAATCCATTTCTCCCTTAAATGGCTTCTTTTGGGGTATTTTATTCATAGACAATATGATAGTATACATAAGTGACACCAAAAACTCTACCAGGGAACTCCTACAGCTGATAAACAACTATAGTCAAGTGGCTGGATACAAGATTAACTATGAAAAATCAGCAACCCTTCTATACAAATGATAAAAGGGCTGAAAAAGAAATCAGAAAATCAGTGTCCTTTACAATAGCCTCAAATAATATATTTTGGTATAACTCTATTCAAGCAAGTGAAAAGCAAGTGAAAGCCCTGTATGACAAGAAGTCTTTTGAAAGTATTTTCTCTTAACACAGGAAAATAAACAAAGACAGACATGGAAATCCAAACTTTGATGCCTAGGGATTTGTGTGACCTAAATAAATTGTGCTCATGTATGGAATTCTCAAAGAACAAATAAATAAAGTTTTGAAAGCACAAGGTCTAGTTGGGAAGATTAACTCAAGGATCCTGACTAACATTTGGTCAAGGTAGACACTGTCAGTAGACATTTAGAAATGTGGCTCAGACCACTATTGTAATATCTATTAAAATAGCTACCCATCATAGTATTATTATTTTTTATCTAGAATGCCTAGCAAAGTTGATTAGTTGCTAATCCCATGGCTTCTGTGTGGATACTCACCACATCAAGTATGCCGATCTTGTTCCAGCCTTGCATTATGGGGAGAAAAGATATAAACATGGGGATGGCCCAGCAGCCTCCCAACATTAATGCGATGCGTACAGGGGTCATCTTGCTTCTATAAACCAAAGGTTGGCAGCAGATGGCGTAATACCTGGAGAGACAATGAAGGGTGGATGACAGGTAAGGAGAAACGGGAGGGAGAGGGGGAAAGATAATAATGGATGAGGGAGAGGAGGAAGAAAGAAGAACAAAAAGGCATGGAAAGAAGGGGAAGTATTGAGAAAAGGAGGATTGGAGGGGGAGGGGTAGAGAGTAAAATAAGAAACAGAAGAGAAAAATTGGGAATAAATGGAAGAAGAGGTAGTAGAGGAGGAGAAAGAAGGGGAATGGAATAGGAGGGAGAAAAAAGGAAAGAGAAAATGCAAATACACAATAAATATTAACATATGGCTTATACATATCTGTTAATAAGTAAATATGTTTTAGATTGCATCTGAAAGTCATTGCCTTGAGTTGGCTCTACATATCCATCTCCCAAAGTCTTAATCAGCTTGACTCCCATGAAGGTCTACTCTACCTCAGAACAGTTCCACTTTCTGAGAATGGAAAAAAATTATAGAGCCCTCCAGGCTACTGTTCCTTTAGCCTCTGTGCTGTGACTACAATTTGATCTATCTTAGACTCGTTCCCTTCCTTGTGATGGCTGAACTGAGATGTTGTGCCCCTATGTTCTTTAAATTGTTGTCCAGGATTACCCTTCTCCTACTTTTCCCTGTGACAGAATTATTTGAGAAGGACAATGAAGGTTCTGAATCAGAGATTGCTGGGGAGCCACCTGGATTGTACATTTTCACCAGTGAGTTCATGCTACTTTCAGGTAAGCACCCCTTCTTTCTCCTTTAGAGGTGCACACACTTCCAAGTTTCCCTATGTTAGCATGAGACCAAGTGATGGGCTCAAGTCAAGGAATCACATGCATTGTTTCTGACAGTGATTATTTAATTGTTTCTCTAGAACTAGTAATATAAAGTTACAAAAATCTCACTGTTACTTATTGCGTACCTGTTGAAAGACCCCTGTTTTTATTTACTGGGGTCTGAGCCTATCTTGGAATTCACTGCTCACTGTCTTTTGTGTTTACATTGTACCTAAGGTATTAGATTTCTTCTGCTTCCACAAAGGGCTTCATCTCTAGCTCCCAGACTTGCAATCTTGCATGTTATTTCAGCCTGTCCAACTGTTCTGTGCCTCGATTAGCATTGCTCTAGATTAGTATGCATTGCCGCTACAGAGAAACAAATGGAAGTATCACATTCCCTTTAAAATGTAACTTTGAGAGTGATGCTGTAGATCCTGCACACGGTTTTCCAAACCCTTATACAATCTGCAAATACAGTCAGTCCTGGAAAATGGATACCTGAAGTATAGTTGTTGGGACAGTTCCATCCTCAAGGGCTAGGGTGGGATGCAGGGATGCCCCCTATACAGGCAGCTATGGAAACTTGTTCTTGCATAGACTTGGATTGTTGAGAAAGGTGGTAAGAATTATTCTTCTCTCTTTAAAATATTAGCAATAGTAAAGAGGGGGAAATGATTTTATTTTGTTTAATTTTAAACTAGATTAGTAAAATTCTAAGTGCTAGGTTAGTATAGACACAATAAAAAGTGTGACCATGCCTACATTAATATTCGGCTTAAATTTTATTTCTTTCCTGCAATAAGCATAATATAATTTTTAATTATATTAGAACAGGGCAAAAGCAATGAAATATGAAATTCTTAACTAAAATTCACAACATTGACAAAAATGCTGAAGAGTCTTTTTGCTAGAACCCTCAAAAGCCACCTTATATATTTTGAGTATTTTTACTCATATAATAAGGTATTTTCTATCAAGCAAAGAATTTAGAAAAGTTAAAAAAAAAAGATTACCATCTTCCTCTACAACATGCCTGATGGCACCACTAGTGAGAAGCTGCTAGTCAAACTGGCAAGTATTCTGAAACCATCTATAAAGTACACTATATGCATTAATCATAACAGTTACTGTAGATTTTCTTATCAAAGGAGCTATTTGTACAATATTATATAACACTTCTAACTAGTAACTAGTGTGTGTGTGTCTGTGTGTGTGTGTGTGTGTGTGTGTGTGTGTGTGTGTGTGGTGTTATGTGCAGGTACACCTGTGTGCATATGTGTGTGGAGGCCAGAGGTAAATCTTGGTTGCCATTCACCTGATTTTGAAAGGGGGTCTTTGAAAAGTGAGCTCACCAAGTATTTTCAGCTGGCTGGCTAGAAAGCCCCAGAGGTCTGCCTGCATCTACTTCCCTAACCCTGAGATTACAAGCATGTACCTCCACATCCAGCCCTTTGATACAGGCTCTGGGGATTGAAGTTGTGCTTGCACAACATGTGCTTATACTGACTATGATATCTTCCCAGCCCTTCATGAATTTTTAAAAAGAGGAAATACAAAAATGTATCCAATGAAGAAATAGAAGGAAAAAGGGGGTAAGTATATCAGGATCTTGGCTAACACTCTGCATTCATAAGAGTTGCTGGCATTGGGCTTAGACAGACTACTGAAAAGCCAGTTGGACTACCACTGCTATCATTTCACTCTGATATCTCTCCAAAATCCCCAAGAGATTTCTTTGTAATTCCTTAAATACCCACTTTAGAAATAAATGGAAAATGAAGGGAGGTGGGATGGGAAAATGGGGAGAAGGGGAAGGGAGAGGAAAACAGGAGGACTGAGACAGGGGAGGAATAGAGGAGGGCAAGAAAGGAGATGCCGTGATAGAGGGAGACAGTGTAGGTTTGGAGAGAGGTCTGGCACAGGGGAAAAGTTAGGGGATCCATAGGGATGACCCCAACTAAGAATCTAGGCAGTGGTGGAGAGGTTGCCTTTGATGCCCTTTTCCTATAATGAGATTGATGACTACCATGGTTGCCATTCCTAGAGCCTTCATCCAGTATCTGATCGAAGTAGAAATGGGCACCCACAGCTAAACACTGAGACATACTCCTGGAATCCAGTTGCAGAGAGGGAGGAGGGATGAGCAAAGGAGCCAAAACTGTGCTGGAGAAACCCTCAGAAACAGTTGACCTGACCTATTGAGAGCATGGAGACCCTAGCTGTAAAGTTGGGGAACCAGCATTGGACCAAACCAAGCTCTCTGAATGTGGGTACCAGCTAGGAGGCCAGGACAGTCTATGGGACCTCTAACAGTGGAACCAGTGTTTATCGCCAGAGCACAAATGGTCTTTGGGAGCCAATTCCCTGTGAAAGGGTACTATTGCAGCCCAGATATGGGAAGGAGGGCCTGGGCCCTCCCCCAAATGATGTGAAGGACTTTGACGGCCCTCACTATCCTTGGGGAGTGGGTGGGGGATGGATGGGGAGCATGAGAGGGCGAGGGAGGGGAGATTGATATGTAAATAAGGGTGATTCTAAAATAAAAAATATTTGAAATAAAAAAATATTCAGAGCTTGAAAGTTGCTTCATGTCCTGGTTAGTTTTTGTCAACACAAGCTAGAGTCATCTAGGAAGAAGAACCTCAATTGATAAAATGACTCTATAGTTCACCCATAGGCACCTTTGTGGGCACTTCTAGCCTGTCCACCATAGCTCAATGTAGCCTGACTTGGCACACTGAAACATGGGCACCTGTACTTCCTCAAAGAACAACCTAGGTCAAAAGGCAAGAAAGTCTACTTAACCGGACTGTGAGCTTCATGAGGGCAGAAATGTTGCAGAAGTAGCTCCATAAGCTCCCAGGGAAGAAAAGCAATTAATAGTCCTACCTGGCTATAAAGTCTGTGAACCACAACAATGACCAACATGACGAGATATTTGGAGAGGTGCAATAGTGGCACTGACATTCTGGGGGTAACCAACGTCCATGTAATTATTAAGGCCCCTTAAACAAGAGAGAATTCATGTCTGGAACTGTAAACATAGCCAACTAGGTGAGGCCATGGGACAGAGAAAAGAACAGACTACTGCCATTTTCTCAAAGCAGTATGATTTTTAACTGCATTCTAAGCACTTATTCTACACCCACAGATTAGTGTAGTTTTCACCCTTTATCAAAGCAGCTTCTTTATCAATGGATGGAGACCAATACAGAAAACCACAACTGCTCAAAATGTAGAGAACAGCAGACCATGGCTCTCATCCCCAGTAGATATATCTACAAAGTAACTCCAGCATCTAAAGCTCAGGGAACATAGTGGACGAGACAGCAGAGAGATAGAAAAGCCAGGGGATCAGGACATCTGTTTCAAGATAGTCCAGTTTCAAAAAATAAAAAGACACAAAATTGAAGGGGCAGGAAAGGAAGGAGAGGGTGGATCTCCGAGGAGTTTGGGAAAGATGTGAATATTGTCAAAATTTGTTGTGTATTATTCTTAAAGAATGGTAAAAAATATGCTTTTTTTTTTTTTTACTTTTGGGTTTTCTGTTTTTGCAAGGCAGGATTTCTCTGGGTCGCTCTGGATGCCCTGGAACTCACTCTGTAGACCAGGCTGAACTCAAACTCACAGAGATCCACTTGCCTCTGCCTCCTGAGTGCTGGGATTAAAGCTGTGTGCTGCCACTGCCTGGCTTCAAAAATACACCTTTTAAAGAAGAATTTTTGGATGTTAACCCAGAGATTACAAAAATTACATTGAGCTATGTCTATTCAGGTCAGCCCTGCAGCATGTTTTCTAAGAAAGCATTAAAACAAAGAGAAGAGCTGCTGATTCTCAGGTGAAATGGATGTTGCTTAGCAAACAGAATTGTGGTTCATCTCAGGAGTAGTTAATACACAAAAATTTGTTTTTTAGCCTTTCTTAAGACATTTTCTATTTAACCAAAAAACACCTTTACAAAGTGATTTAATAAATGTTCTAATGATGAATTAGGTTCCAGATGGGGAGGATTAACTAGAATGTAGCAAAGGTATTTACTAAGTTAGTTCTTATGCAACACTTCAAAGTTTGCTCATAAAACTCCATTAAAAATCCCCCTTGGTAGACAACCTGCAACTTCTCCAACTACAGCCACAGGCAAATGTGGGCTCTAATTGCTTTTAAATGTCTCTAGGGACACAATTTACTTTGATAAGTCTTAGAAGACAGCAGCATATTTTAAGCTCCATGCT